CTTACTGCCATCTAAAACATGGTCTTTCTTCTGCATGCCTGTGGAGAGTTCTCTCCGGTATGTCTTCTTTTTTAAAAAAAGATTTATCTATTTATTTATTTTTAGAAAGAGGAGAAGGGAGGGAGAGAGTGTGGGAAATAAATATCAATGTGTGGTTGCCTCTCATGTGTGCCCTACTGGGGACCTGGCACGCAACCCAGGCATGTGCCCTGACTGGGAATTAAACCAGTGACCCTTTGGTTCACAGGCTGGCACTCAATCCAATGAGGCACACCAGCTGAGACTCTTCTTCTTTTATTAAGGACACAGATCCTACCATGTCAGGTCCCCACCCATATGACCTCGTTTAACCTTAGTTACCTCCTGAAAGCCCCCATTTCCAAATACAGTCGCATTTGAGGTTAGAGATCCAACATATGAATTTTGAAGGCAGGAAGACACTATTCAATCCATCATACTAACAAATTTAAAAAGAAGGAAAACACATATTACTAATATTGGAAGTGAAAGATAGATTATTGAACAACTATGTGCTAACAAATTTTATAACCTAGATAAATGGACCAATTCCATAAAGACATAATCTTTCAAAACACAAAGGACCTTGTAGATTAGATAACCTTCTTAGAGCTACCGTATTTTGCCATGTATAATGCGCACCCACATTTTTGGCCCAAGCTTTCAGGAAAAAAGAAATCTTGCATTTTAATTTTAATTAATTAATATTTAAATACTCATTTTTGTATTATAAAGGAATTTTAGCATTTATTTTTGGATATACAGATATCATTATTGCTTTCTAGGGTTATACTTTTAACCCTAAATAAAAAGGCATAAATAAAAGAAATTTATATAGATATGGAATTAGTACTACCCATGTATAATGCACATCCTTATTTTTCCCTCAAAAATTTGGGCAAGTTTGTGCACACTCAAAAAAGTGTGCATTATACATGGCAAGATATGGTAAATCTATTAAAGAAATTGAATCAACAATTAATAACATTTTAAAACCTAAGAAAAAAAGTCCAGATGGGTTTACTGGTAAACTATAACAAATACTTAAGGAAGAAATTTTATTAATTCTCTAAAATTTCTTCCAGAACATAGAGGAAAACAAAAATGCCTACTAACTCATTTTATGAGGCTAGTGTTACCTTAACATCAAAACTAGGCAGTCATTACAAGACAACTACAGACCTATCATGAACATAGATACACAACTCTTTAACAAAACATCAAATTAACTCAACGATATGTAAAAATGATAGGGGAACTCAAGAGTTAAAGATTTTAGTTTTAGTTATAGTTGATGGGCTTACATGATTAATGCATGAGGAAATCTATTGTTTCAAGAGCTGGAATACATGACTTATATTACCTCAAAAGGTTGACAAGCAATTCAACCTCTGTGCCACAAGGTGTTTGCAAGTGATGGAAATGGTATCTGAGCCATTGTGTTCAAGGGAGGGAATATCTGTGACACATATGAAGAACTGTGGATCAGTAATAAAGAAATACTAAGGAAAATCGCTGCTGGAACAACTCTTATCTGATTACCTTTTTCTAAAACTCTTACTTACCCTTTTCTTCTTATAAAAAGGTTGGCTTGAGATGAGATGTTAAGACGGAGTACATAACTTGGTGTCTTTTCAGATTGCCAGCATCTGAATAAAGCACCAATAAAGATTCAGTTCTTGTTTCTACTTATTTCTCATAGTGACAGGCAGCATAAATGCTGACTTTTCCACTTTCATTTTCTGGTAGCTCTGGTGGGATACATTTGGGACTCAGGTAAGTCAGAGCATTTAGTGGGGAACCCTGTTGGCTGCCTGGATTGGGGGCCCCAGGATGTAGATTTGGAGACTCCCTAGCAGCTGCCAAGTGACTTCATTTGAGGACTTTCCTTCTCTGATGCTCAGCAACCCCCATCACCTTCACTTTTGATTGAATTGTTGTACTTTCTGGTTCAGGATTGCAGTCCCAGGTTATGATTCAAAACAGTTCTCATGAATTAAGGGGGCTTCTGGTTTGTGTGATAACACAGAGCTCTGTCTGGTAGAACAGGTGGAAGAGCTCCTGAACAGGAAATAGCCCTTTTTAGAGAATTCTGGCTGGTTGGTTGATTTATGCTTATGATCCTATGACTAAAAAGAAAAGGGGCTCTTTTTCTTTGCAATACTGGTTGGCTTATGTATAATTTGGACTCAGGAGAGCACAGGCCACTGACCAGGTCTTTAAATTACTATACTACACTGCAGTTAGAGTTGTATTGTCAAAGGTCATGGAAATGGGGTGAAATATCTTATGTAGAGGCATTTATGACTTTATATAATAAAGATGCATATGCAGGATTAAAAGGAAATAGATTGATGGCCCAGAGAAGAGGGAACTTACCCATGGTAGATAGCAGAAGCTCAGAAGAGAGGGAGCAGAATGGTTAGGATATCATGGCTGCTGCAAGCATGGTCAGGGTTTCTGCAGCCCCCCAGCCCTGAGAGATCCTCCTCCTTACCAAACTGAGGAAGCTGAAGGAGGTGAGCCTTAACTGGTCTTTCTGTCCCGAACCTGTAGTGAACCAAATTCAGTGGAAGACAAGTACCTACTTGGGTAGGGCAATATCCCCTGCAGACTTCACTGGGAGGAGGGCCAGAGGGCCAGCCCACCGGATATTATTGGGCACATACTCCATTTTCTACATGAGATCCGTTAAACTGGAAAAACACAAATCCTTCTTATAGGGATGATCCTATTAAAAGAGCTGACTTAGTTATGTCCTTTTTTGCCACCCACCATCCCAACTGGGCAGACATATAAGCCTTACTGAATATTTTACTTATGGTGGTTGAGTAAAGGCCAGTATTGGATATGGCAAGTGAAGAGACTTGAACACTGCACCAAGAAAATCCAGCTGGAGCTCTCAATCCTACTAAGGCAATACCTTTAACTGAGCCTAAGTGGCACCCTAATGAAAATGATCTTTCTCTCTTAGAGCATTATAAGAGATACATCCTTGAGGGACTGAAGAAAGGAGTTTCTAAGCAGAAAAGTCTGTAGATGGTATAGGTGGTACAAAAAAAGTCCTTTGAGGACACTTCTGAGTTTATATGTTCATGAAAGGCAGGGCATGCCCTAGGAATCCTTACCCAAATGGTTAGTGACATTCCACAATCCATTGCATACTTGTCAAAGAAACTAGATCACACTGTCCAGCGGTGGCCAGCCTGCTTGAGAGTTGTGGCAGCCACCTGTGAGTTTTTACAGGAAGCTGAAAAACTTTCCCTGGGACAGCCTATCACCATTTATACACCCCACCAAGTGTTGAGCCTGCTGGAAAAAAAATTTGTGGACCACTGCTGGAAGAATAGGCAGGTACCAAGCAATTTTTTCTCAACAATCCCAACTTCTCCCTCAAAACTATAATTTAAATCCTGTTTCCCTTCACCTGGAGCCTGCCTCCACCACACTAGTGCATAACTGTGCTAAAATAGTTGATAAAGTTTATTCTAGCAGAATTGATTTACGGGACCGTCCTTTAGAAGAGACAGACTGGACTTGATATGCAAATGGAAAGTTACATGGACAAAGGAAACAGAAACGCTAGGTATGCAGTTGTGACTCAAAGAAATAGCAGAGGTGAAGGCCTTACTGCTGGGAACCTCTGCTCAGAAAGCTGAACTGATTGCATTGACAAGGACACTGGAATTGTCACGCAAAAAGAAAGTGAACATGTATTCAAGGTAAGCTTCCCTAATTTTGCATGCACCTGGTTGTATCTGGAAGTAAAGAGGACTATTGACCTCCAATAAAAAGATTAGCATGCAACAGAAATTTAAAAATTATTAGAAATGGTCCAGGTACCTTTACAGGTTGCAGTTATGCATTACCCTGGGCATCAGACAGGACACTGAAGTGGCCAGAAGAAACAATAGGGCCGATTGAGCAGCAAAGGAGGCTGCTAAAGGAACATTTATAACTCCTTTGGTAACTATTCTAGACTTGTCACAATTCAACCCTGAATATTCGACTGCAGACTTAAGAGAAAATTAAGATCTGGGGTTTTGATGAAAAAGGCCTGGACAGTAAATGGAGAAAGAATAGGAAAGGAGTTATACTGCTTCCTGAACATGTAGTAGAGCCAGTCATGAAGCAGTTGTATGAGGCCACTGTGAATCACCTCTGTTAAATTTCTAAAGCCATACAGAAAACAACAGCTAGATGTGTTATGCCCTGGAAGAACAACCCCAAGACAGATCCCCATCAGAAAAAAGAAGGGATACAGTATCCAGAACAGTACCTATTTGAGGACTGACAAATAGACTTTACCCAGATGCCTAGGGCCTGAAGATGACAATATTTGTACTCTTTGTTGATAACTTTTCAGGATGGGTAGAAGCCGGTCCTACTAGAAACTGAGAAATCTTCTGAGGTAGTGAAAGTCCTACTGAAGGAAATAATTCCTCACTTTGGCCTACCCAGCCACTTCCAGAGTGAAAAAATGGACGTGTTTTTGTTTCAGAATTACACATAAAGTTAGTAAACTTTTAGGAAGCAAGTGGAGACTCCACACCATATGGAAACCTCAGGTTTCTTGGAAAATAGAAGATGAATCACGCCTTGAAGAAAAATGCAGGCAAATTGTGTCAAGAAACTTCTTTCCCACACACCGAAATTGGTCTTTTATAGACCTCAAGGGCGGGTGGGGCTTGGACCGAAGCGGTCACAGAAATCTGAGGACAGCCACTTAAACAGGAAAAGCTCCCGGCGCAGCCCGGCCAGTGTCACGCCGAGGCAGCAAGGTTGGGTCTCCTCCTAGGCCGCCTTCCGCCTCCCACCCCCTTCACCTCTTCGGTGCACCCTACTGCCTGGCCGCACGCAGAGCGGAAAGCAAATAGCCCAGGAGGCGTAGCCGGCTGGCCCTGGGCCAATGACAACCTAGGAGAGTGGCGTTCCTTCAGCGCTTGGAGGAGGCCGGAAGTTCCTGCGTTTCAGTACAGCAAGTCACTTCCGCAGCAGGTCTGCCTGTCCCCCTCCCGGGCCTTGGGCGCTTCCCAGGCCACTTTTCGGACGGAGAGGGGTACTGGAAGGCCCGGACCCTCCTCCGCGCCTTCCAAGGAGCCGAGATCGCCGCCGTGACTGGACGTCCGCCAAGGTTCGGACGGACCTTAAGCTCTCCACGGCCCTAGAGAGGGCGTTCCGGCCCCGGCAGCCTATACACCCGGGAGACTGAGGCTAGGAGCGCGACCCGCAGCCCAAGTCACACCTCGCCCAAGGCAAGGCAAGGTGTGCGCTAGGCTGAGCCCGTGACACCCCCCTCAGTCACCCGCCTTTATGGCGGCGGTGGCAGGGCTGGGCAACCCGGCGCAGGTGAGTGGACGCCCCACTGGCGCTGAGACCCCGCCCACAGGCAGGAGACGCGACTGGATTTAAAAAGTGGGCGTGGTCTGTGGTCATTTCTCATTGCTCTGTTTTTGAGTGGGGCCGTGGAGGTGAGTCACTACCAGTCTAAGGTCCAGAACCCAGGCCAAGGATTATATAGAGCGGGCTCCATTTCTGAAACGTAGTGGGATGAGGTGGGAAAGGATTTCCTAGGCACAAGGACCTAGGAAATGCTTGGCGATGAGATTGAGAGAGCAGGTGGGCTCAAGTCAGCTCTGGAATGGCGGGCTGAGCTGTGCTTCTATTTTGAGGGCGTTGGGAACCACGGAAGGCTCACAGTAGAGGAGGAGGGTGAGCTGACTCAGGTCTTATGCCTGTGGATGCAGAGTGGAAAATTGTGTGGTGAGGCTACTGCAATATCCAGCTCAGTAGTGCAGGTGGTCGGAGGTAGAAGTGATTGGATTTTGGGTCTGTCTTTTAAATCAGGCTGACAAAATTTTTTGATTTGGAGGGCGAGAGTGAGAAGGGATGAGGACTCCAGGGTTTTTGGTTTTAGCAGCTGGTAGGATGAATTAGCCATCAACTGAGATGGGGTAGTTAGTTGTAGAAGGAATTTTCGGTGTTAGGTTTTAGGCATGTTGAGTTCTGATGTTCTGAGTGGAGGTGAAGAAGGGGAAGCTAGACACACAGCTATGGTATTCTGGGGAGGTGTGGTTAAAATAATGAGAGACCGAATATACAAAGGGACAATGGCCAGACCATATATAAAAATAGAACTTTGACTCACAGCCTGCAGCAACTTGCCCAGGAAACCAACCCCATTATCTACGATAAACAGCCCAGGAAGCCAGTCTGCTGTAAGTCAGACTTGCAGGAAGTCATATTGCAGTATCTCTAGTGATAGTCCAAGAAGCTAAACAGTAACCTCTTACAACATCTGGTCCCAAATGGCCAGACTTGATTAATAACTGACAGCTTCTATAATTTTTGTTCCCTCTTCCAACTCATGTCCTACCAGAGAAAGTCAAATATGCACCCTAACCAATCACATAGGATGCCCTGCTTCTAGTTACCCTGCCCACAGCTCCCCTATACCAACAGGACCCACCTGAAGTGCTTTGTCTCTTTTGTCCAATATAAAGCTTCCTCGCTCCTCTGCCCTCAAGTCTGCCAAAAATAAGTGACAGTGGCCGTCACCCTTGCTATAGCAAGCTCAGAATAAATAGCCTTTGCTTTTCTCATTTGGTTGGTCTTCGTTTATTTCCCAGTTAGAAACATCCAACATGTGGCATCTGGTGTATGGATAAGGGTGTAGCTGTGTGTCTGATATAGGAGAGTGACATTTCAGGTCCTGGTGGCAATGACAGAGGAAGGTGGGGCTTGAGAACATAAAGACATAAGGAAGAGTAGTGGTGGTGGTGGTGGTGGTTGGGCTATGTAAGGAAAGGGTCTGACAGGTGGCCAAATTTCGCTGGAAGTGTAGAGATGAGAGGTGCTGGGGCTTAGTTATAATGGAAGTAATATTATACTGAGGCCTGGGCTGGTTCTTATTCCCACCTCTGCCTTTCACCAGGCCCTTTGATGACCCCTGGAGAGACCTGGGGATTTTCAGTCAGGCTGGGAAATTACCTCAGGGGAAATGAGGTGGGAGAGCCGCTAGGTCTAGGGTAGGTAGAGGTAGGAGGACCAGAAGGGTTGTTGAAATGAGTGTGACTGATGAAGGCACAGACTGTGGAACAGAGAAGAGGAAGAGGGCCATGGGGATCACACATCTGTGCATTGTTCTGGGTGGCTTAGATTGGAGCCAGGAACTGGGGCAAGATGGGATCATGGTTCTATTTGCCAAGAACTCTAGATGCTTTGTGAAGGGTGACCTGTGAGAGTTCATGGAGATGGCTGTGATGTGGGCCATGATGGGGAGAGGGTACCCTCATAATGGGTATGCATTGGTGAGGTGCAGGGTTTGAAGAAGGTATGGTCAGAAAAGTGGTATGTGTTAGGGAGTAAATGTGAGCTGGTACTGGGGATAAAGGGAGAAGACTAAGCCCATGTTTGTTTGTATCTGGAAGGGATGACATTGGTGACACTAGGGGAGGGGGCCCACAGAAGAGGGGGTTGGGCTCTGCACTTAGTTGCTCTCTGCTCATCTGCCTGTCAGTTAGGTGAGGGCTGAGAAAAAGGTACGTGTCAATGGAACCAGGATCTGGGATCTCCTCTGAGTTGGGGAGCTGAAAAGGAGGGCTAGTAGGGGACAGACCAGAAGTCTTGAGGAGAGAAGCTGATCATGGAATGAACTGTCTTTATTATGGCAGGACTCTGTGACCTTTGAGGATGTGACCATCTACTTTTCCCAGGAGGAGTGGGGACTTCTTGATGAGGCTCAGAGGCTCCTGTACTGTGACGTGATGCTGGAGAACTTTGCACTTATAGCCTCTCTGGGTAAGGCCTTGTGTACCTGGGTGTCCTGAGCTCCTATCTTCCTGTCCCTTTTTCCCAAGAGGTAGTGTTTTACTTCTCATGGCTGAACCATGGTGCTGCTCCCTTCCTCAGTTCCCTGTTGTATATGTTACGGGTTTCAGGGGTGAGCTGTGTGTAGGGTTCCATGCTATTCTTAAAGAGCCCCAACACCTGCTGCCCTGAACCTTTGTGGGGAAGGGGCCAGGAACGAGGAGTCTTAGAGTCAGCCCAGTGAATCCTGTCTGACTTGGCCACTCTATGCTTGGGTGACTGCCCACATCTGACAGTTCTGTCCTGCTCCTTTCCTTTAGCTAACACTTCCTAAGGCCTGACCACCAGGAATTCTAGACACTGGTGTGGTTACTGCTTGATGTGGCCATTGGATATTCCTGTAATACCTTCCTTGTATTTTTTTTTGTAATGTTTTGTTTTCTTTCCTGTTGTCTCTGGTAGGGAAGTTCACTGGGCAAGTGCTAGCCACTTACCTGCCATGTCTTTTCCTTAGGACTTACATCTTTCAGGTCCCACATAGTTGCCCAGCTGGAGATGGGGGCAGAGCCCTGGGTGCCTGACAGAGTGGACATGTCTTCAGCCATGGCAAGAGGGGCATATAATGGACCTGGCTCTGGTAAGTGGGAGATGGGAGAGGGTGTGATGTCACTACTGTCTTCAAATCATACCTTCAACTTTTCTCATGTTCATCATTGTTTTGGTGCCAAAGCCAAAGGCCATATCTTTCTTCAGTCTTTCCTTCCCATTCTTGACACATTGCCCACTTGTGATTTCTACTTTAACTTGGGGCCTCTGACTGTGCCCCACCTTTCTGGCCTCCATGTCTCACTCTTTCCACAGCTCCTTCTGTGGCCCTCTCCAATATGGGCCTGCACTTAATATCCCATGAGATGTGTACATTCCTTTTAACAGTCCTAAAACACTAGCTACCCAGTTGTAATCAGATTTTCCTGAGTCTAGACATAACCTTTTGCACAGTGCTCATGTGTTCCCAGTAGCCAGGGTTTTGCTGAAAAGTCTTTATAGAGCATTGAGTTGGAGACCATGCCTTCTACCCAGTGCTATACCCCATCCTTGTGTCTTTAGTCCTAGTAGGGCTTCCTCTGTTTTATAACATTGCCAGGCACCATACCACAGAGCAGACCTTTCCTTACCCTGACCTCAGGCCTCTCATCTTGCTAGCAATCCCAAGGACTCATTCCTCAGTTAAATATGCACTTGTGACAGGGCTGTTTCCTTCTATCAAAGTTAACATGATTTTTTACCAGTTTTTCTCTACTTTCAGATGTTCACCATGGAACAGAGGGTGAGGAGTCACCTTGTGAGCATAGCGTTTCTGTAGGAATGTCACAGGACAGGAATCCCAAGGCAGCTCTATCCATCCAGAAGGACTACCTCTCTGACATGTGTGGCTTACACTTGAAAGACATTTTGCACCTGGCTGAATACCAGGCAACACATCCCAGGCAGAAACCATGTGTGTGTGAGGCAAATGGGAGAAAGTTAGAGTTCATTGCAAACCTTCACCAGCAAAAGATGCAGTGGGACATAGACAAGTCTATCAGAAGGCAGGAGGGTAGGGCCTTGCTTGTGAAGAGCTGCAGAGATGACACATCTGAGAAACCTTTCATATTCAGGGAGGGTAGGAAGGACTTTGTAACCACATCTGGCTTTCTCCAGCATCAGGTCACTCACAGTGTGGAGGAGCCACACCAGGGCACCAAATGTGTGGAGGATTTTCACACGGTCCAAAGCCATAACAGGTGCAGTGAATTTGGGAATGCTTTCAGTGACAAACCCGCACTTGCTCAGCACCAGAGAACCCATACTGCAGAAAGACCTTATGAGTGCAGCAAATGTGGGATATTCTTTAGTCACACCACTGGCCTCTTTCAGCACCAGAGAGATCACAACAGAGGAAAGCCTTATGAGTGCTGTGAATGTGGGAAATTCTTTAGCCAATACTCCAGTCTCATTAAACATCAGAGAGTTCACACTGGTGAAAGCCCTCATGTATGCAGTGAATGTGGGAAATTCTTTAGCAGAAGCTCCAATCTCATTCAACACAAGAGAGTTCACACTGGAGAAAAGCCTTATGAGTGCAATGAATGTGGGAAATTCTTTAGCCAACGCTCCAACCTAATTCATCATAAGAGGGTTCATACTGGTAAAAGTGCTCATGAATGTAGGGAATGTGGGAAATCTTTCAACTGCAACTCCAGCCTAATTAAACATTGGAGGGTTCACACTGGAGAAAGACCATATAAATGCAATGAATGTGGGAAATTCTTTAGCCACATTGCCAATCTCATTCAACATCAAATAGTCCACACTGGTGAACGGCCTTATGGGTGCAGTGAGTGTGGGAAAGCCTTCAGTCGAAGCTCTGACCTCATGAAACATCAGAGGGTCCACACTGGTGAGCGGCCTTACCAGTGCCCTGAATGTGGGAAATCATTTAGCCAAAGCTCCAGCCTTAATAGCCATCGGAGACTTCATACTGGTGAACGGCCTTATCAGTGCCCAGAATGTGGGAAATTCTTTAACCAAAGCTCTAGCCTCGGTAACCATCGGAGACTTCACACCGGCGAGCGGCCTTATGAATGCCTTGAATGCGGGAAAACCTTCAGACAAAGATCTAATCTGAGGCAGCACCAGAAAGTTCACAAACCAGATAGGCCATATAAGTGCAGTGAATGTGAAAAAGCCTTTAGCCAAAGGCGTACCCTCATTAGGCATCAGAAAATTCACACTAGAGAAAGGAGTACAGAGAAGGTGCTTTCTCCTTCAGCACAATGCACACTAGAGGAAAGCTCAGAGTAGTCTCTATGAGGGAGCCGTCAGTCCAAAGCTGGACCTTGTTCACTCAAATATTCACTCTAGGGAGATTCCCTATGAATGCTAGATATGTTGGAAGCTTTATGGAGCTATATGTTCTGACCATAGACTTTGCCAGTGTTTTTGGCAGAAGCCATCTGAATCCTACCCACTGGCAGGTCTTCAGAGTGTGTGACAACCACTCCCTGTACTCGGGGAATGCAGACTTCTCTTTCTAAGAGAATTGTGAGTAAGCCTATGGTCATAAGAGTACCTCAGTCTTTCCCATTGTGACTTGTGTAGTTGTGCCCCTGACCCATTTTTGGCCATGAAGACCTGAGCTGGGTTCTACTGACAGCTTGCTGAGAAAGTTTAATTTCTTCAAAGACATTGTTGATCTCATGATGCTCATGAGTTTATCTAGCCTCCACATTGCCCATCCCAACAACTACTTTACGTTTCTCTGGTTTCAGTGATAATAAGGGTCTTGTTGACAAAGCCACCTTCAGTCTTCTGTGCTCTGATGTTCTGATTACTGTATGGAATGGGTTGAGAACAGCCCATGGGTTAAGGTCTACCAAATTAAAGGAGTCCCCAAATTTATTGTCTCAGATGGAACAGCAGGATGGCAAGAACAGCCCTCAGTCCAGATATGGTATTTTATTGGTTCAAGACCTAGGGAAAATTGTAGGGCTTTGGGGGGCCTAACGTGGTCTGAATGACATGAACTTTTGTGAACCAGAGATCACCTCGAGGAAGGGGCATTTGTGACAAACTCCAGTGCATCTGAGAATAGCATAAATTAGGCCTCATTGTTTCCAGGAGATGCCTCATATTCCCAAACACTGTTGAACAGACACTATTTACTTGGCACCTGCCAAGGAGCCATATACCTTGAACTCTAACATACGGTATTTGATTATAAGTCTTTGTAAGACTTACTGGGTCCACTAGGACCACAATTTGTACAGGAACACTGGAGATTATAACAGAGTAAGTGAGACTGTAGCAAACTAAAAGGAATGTATTTTTTAAAAGATTTTATTTTTAGAAATGGGAAGGGAGGGAGGACAACATCAATGTGTCATTGCCCCTCATGCACCCACTACTGGAGACATGGCCCACAACCCAGATATGTGTCCTGACTGGGAGTTGAACCCTTTGGTTTGTAGGCTGGCACTCAATCCACTGAGCCACACCAGCCAGGGCTGGAATGTACCTGCTTTAAAAGAGCATCTACAAATATTCTCTTGAATCTGACTGTGCAGGATTCAGGCTTTGCAGAAATTTTCAAGATCACCAGACCTCTGTCATATGACTAAGGTTACTGGCAGAGCAAATAATCTAAAAAGTTTTGTAGATTACTGCAGGCTCACTGTGTTATCTCAAAGCCATTGTTGCACTGGCAGAAAAATAGGACCTGAGAGGAGGTAGATTCTGTACTCCAGGGATGTAACATTTGTGACATAGCCAGCCACTTTTGCTGCCAAGGCAATGAAGTAGAGTTAATGTGGGGTTACCAAATCTTCCAGTTTGCTAAAGTGAATGGAGATTGGATTCTTATGTGCAACAGTTCCTTTTAATGCTTTGTTGAGATAAAGTTGTCAGGCAATAAGTGACTATATATTTAGTATGTACAATTTCATAAGTTTTTAAGTGTGTATATACTCAGGGAACCAACACTATAGTCATGATAATAAACCTATCGGTTACCCACAAAGCTACTTTGTGCCCCTTTATTATTTCTCTTTGTCTTTCCCAGGAAACCATTAGCTGCATCCCAAGGAATCTATTAATTTACCCTTTTTTTCCCACGTAGATTTGTTTGTGTTCTATTGATTTTATACAATTGGGATTATAAAGTACTTATACTCTATTTTTGGTCTATATTCTTTCATACAAAATAATTATCTTACCATGCTGTGTGTATGAAAAGTTCATTCCTTTTACTGTTGAATAGTGCTAGGTTGAATGATCCACCACATTTTAGTTTATTTTGTAAATTAAAATTCTGATAAAATACACATAATATCGAGTTTACTACGTTAACCCTCTAAGTGTGCAAGTTCAGTGGTATTAAGTATACAAGTATATTGTTCAATCATCTCCACCATTCATCTCTTTTCATCTTGTAAAACTGAAACTGTACACCATTAAATAATAACTCCTAATTCCCCCTTTCCAAGCCCCTGAAACCACCATCCTACTTTCAATTTCTGTTAATTTGCTCTAGGAACCTCATATATGAAATCATATAGTATTTGTCTTTTTGTGGCTGGCTTATTTCACTTAGCATAGTGACCTCAAGGTTCATTCATGTTATAGCATCAAAATTTTTTTAAGGATGAAAATATGCCGTGTGTGTGTGTGTGTGTGTGTGTGTGTGTGTGTGTGCCATATTTTGCTTATTCATTCATCTGCCAATGGATATTTGGTTTATTCCCACCTTTTAACTATTGTGAATTATACTGCTAAAAGATACAAATATTCTTTGAGACCTGGCTTTCTATTCTTTGGGGTATATTCACGAAAGTGGAATTACTGGATCATATGGTAGTTATACTTTTAATTTTTGAGGAATCTCCATACTGTTTTTCACAGTGGCTGTACCATTTTACATGCCCACAAACAGTATCCAAGAGTCCAATTTTTCACATCTTCACCAACACTTGTTTTTTTTTCTGTTTTTTTTTGGGGGGGGGGATGGTTTTTATCCTAATGAGTGTGAAATGGTATCTCATTGTTTTAATTTGCAGTTCCCTAGTGATTCATGATAGTGACTATTGTTTTATGTACTTATTGGTCATCTGTATGTCTTCTGTAGATAAATGTCTATTCAAGTGCTTTTTCCATTTTGCTGTTGTTTAGTTACAGTTGTCCCCCTTCCTGCCCCCCCCCAGTTGCTCTCCCTTGCCCTGTCCAACTCCTGCTCCCAAAGATAGTCTCCATCCCATTATCCTTGTCCATTGGTCCTTTGTACATGTTCCTTGACTTGACCCTTCCCCTTCTTTCCCTCATTATCCTCTTCCCCACCCCTCGGGTAACTGTCAGTTTGTTCTTTATTTCCACCTCTCTGGTACTGTTTCACTCATGTGTTTGTTTTGTTGATTAGGTTCCCCTTATAGGTGAGATCATATGGTATTTGTTTTTCACTGACTGACTTATGTCACTTAGCCTAAGACTCTCTAGTTCCATTCACACTGTCACAAAGGGTAGCAGTTCTTTCTGTTGAGTAATATTCCATTATGTAAATGAACCAGTTTTTTTGATCCACTCATTTACTGATGGGCATTTAGGCTGTTTCCACCATTTGGTTTTGTAAACTGTGCTGCTATGGACATTGGGATGCATAGGCTCTTTTGAATTAGTGTTTCAGGATCCTTAGGGTATAATCCCAGCAGTGGAATTGCTGAGTCAAATGCAATTCCATTTTTAGTTTTTTGAGAAAATTCCATACTTTCTTCCAGAGTGGCTGCACCAGTCTACATTCCCACCAACAATGTACTAGGGTTGCATTTTCTGACAACCTCCCTAGCACTTACTGTTTGTTAATTTTATTATGATGGCCATTCTCGCTAGTGTGAAGTGGTATCTCATTGTGGTTTTAATTTATATCTCCTAATGGCTAGTGATGCTTATCCTTTCATGTGTTTCTGGGCCCTCTGTATGTTCTCCTTGGGAAAATGTCTGTTCAGGTCGTTGGCCCATTTTTACTTGGGTTGTCTTCCTGGTGTGGAGTTGTGTGAGTTCTTTATATACTTTAGAGATCAAACCCTTGTCTGAGGTATCATTGGCAAATATATTTTCCCATACAGTTGGTTCCCTTTTCATTTTGCTAAAGTTTTCTTTAGCTGTGCAGAAGCTTTTTATTTTGATGAAGTCCCATTTGTTTATTCTTTCCTTTATGTCCCTTGCTCTAGGGGACACATCAGTGAAAATATTGCTGCATGGAATGTCTGAGATTATCCTGCCTGTGTTCTCTTCTAGGACTTTTTATGGTATCATGACTTGTATATTTGAGTCTTTTATCCATCTTGAGCTTATTTTTGTGTATGATTTTAAGTTGGTGGTTAAGTTTCATTTTTTGCATGTAGCTGTCCAGATCTCCCAACACCATTTGTTGAAGAGGCTATTTTTACTCCAATTTAATGCTTCTTCCCCCTCTGTCAAATATTAATTGACTGTAGAGACTTGGGTTTATTTCTGGGCTCTCTATTCTGTTCCATTGGTCTATGTGTCTGTATTTATGCCAGTACCAGGCTGTTTTGATTACAGTGGCCTTGTAATACAGTTTGATATCAGGTATTGTGATCCCTCCTGCTTTGTTTCTTCTTTCTCAAAATTGCAGCAGCTATTTGTGGTTCATATAAATTTCTGAATGTTTGTTCTGTACCTGTGAAATATGTCATTGGTACTTTAATAGGGATGGCATTGGATCTATAAATCACTTTGGGTAGTATGGCCATTTTGATGATGTTAATTCTTCCAATTCATGAGCATGGTACATGCTTCCATTTGTTTGCGTCTTCCTTAATTTCTGTCTTCAGAGTTGTATAGTTTTCTGAGTTCAGGTCGTTTACCTCCTTGGTTAGATTTATTCCTAGGTACTTTATTTTTCTTGTTGGTATATCAAATGGGATTTTTTTCCTGATTTCTGTTTCTGATATTTCATTGTTGGTATACAAAAATGCCTTTGGTTTCTCAGAATTGACTTTGTATCCTGCTCTTTTGCCAAATTCACTTATTAAGTCAAGTAGTTTTTTTGGTGGAGTCTATAGGATTTTCTATGTACATTATCATGTCATCTGCAAACAGTGACAGTTTTGTTTCTTCCTTTCCAATTTGGACGTGTTTTATTTGCTTTTCTTATCTGATTGCTGTGGCCAGGACTTCTAGTACTATGCTGAATAGGAGTGGTGAAAGCAAGCATCCTTGTCTTGTTCCTGATTTTAATGGGAAAGCTCCAAGTTTTTGTCCATTGAGTATGATGTTGGCTGTAGGTCTCTAATATATGGCCTTAATTATGTTGAGTTACCTTCTATTTTAATTGAGAGCCTTGCTGGATAGAGTAGTCTCAATTGCTGGCCTTTGCTTTCACTGCTTGGAATATTTTTTGCCATTCCCTTCTAGTTTTTAATGTTTTTGTTGAAAAGACAGCTGCTAGCCTTATCAGGGCTCCCTTGTATGTTACTGTTTCTCTCTTGCTGACTTTAAGATTTTCTTTTTCTCTTCAAATTTTGCCCTTTTTCATTATGATGTACCTTGCAGTGGGCCTGTTTGAGTTCCTTTTGATTGGAACCCTCTCTGTTTCCTGGACTTGTGTGGCTTTTTCTCTCATCAAATTGGGGGAGTTTTCCATCATTACTTTTTCAAACAGGTTTTCTATTCCTTGCTCTTCTTCTCCTTCTGGTATCCCTACTATATGGATATTATTATGTTTCATGTTGTCCTATAGTTCTCTTAACCCTCTTTGTTGTTTTTGAGTCTTTTTTCCTTTTCTTGTTCTTTTTGGGAATTTTTTTCTCCCTTTTGCTCCAGCTCACTGATTCAATATTCTGCTTCATTGAGTCTGCTTTTGAGTCCTACTGTGTTCTTTAATTCAGAAATTGTATTCTGCATTTCCTTTTTGCCCTTATTGATTGTTTCTATGTCCCTTTTTATGCTGATATAGTTTGCAGTAAGTTACTCATAATTTCCCTGTAGTTTTTGGTAATTCTCACTGAGCTCATAGAGCTTCCTTATAACCATTGGTTTGAACTCAATATCTGATAGTTGACTTGTCTCTACTTCATTTAGCATTCTTTCTGAGGATTCTTCCTTTCTCTTTGATTAGGGGTTGTTTCTTTGTCTTCCCATTATTTGTGGGACTCTTCTTGTTTGCTTCTGCTTCTTAAACTAATCTGTTTTTACTTTCTGTGTGGTGTCAACTTTTATGGTAGGAGGCCTGTGAGATTCAGTGGTGCACTCTCCTTGATCTCCTGAACTTGATCCTCTTGGGATGCCCTTTATTGCCTTTTATGCTGGTTCTCGTGATTCAATTGGATTTTGATTATTGTTGTCTTTCTTTGGTGGGTCCTTCCCTCCAGGTGGTTGACTTAGGGTCACTCTGACTACCACATCTTGTGTGCTGTTGTGCAGGTGCTGCCAGAACAAAACCACAGAGCCCAGGAAACAAACCCACATCTGCAAATATAACTCCCCCCACCCACAATTCCACTATCAATGGCAAATGAACTAGTATCAATAAGGGTATAAGGAGATTAAGACTATTATAAGAAAGGAGAGCAGATGTGAGAAGACCTACTGAAAGAAAAATGGTTTTGAGAGGATAGAGGGAGGAACAATAATAAGAGTTGGGAGTTGGAACAATAGAAAGAGAGAAGGTAAAATTTACCTCATGAATAAAAAAAGGAATGAAGAATGTGGAATAGAGTATGAGAAGGGAAGTGTATAGTATTAGGTTTAAACAGAAATTAAAATAACAAAATAGAGAAAGGAAATGGAAGGAAAAATAGTAAATAACTAATATATAGGAGCCAAATTGGAGAGAAAGATCCACCACAGTACTCTCAACAACAAAGGAGCTAAAATTAATATAGGTAGTATGGGAATAAGAGGGGGAAAAGAAACAAAGATAAGTCTAAGAGATATTTTGAGGAATGGGAAGTGATTTTGAAATGGAAGAGGGAGAGGCAACACTAAGAGTGAGGGACAAAAAACAGACTAAGACAGGGAAAAAATAAAATTTGGGATGTAAGGGGGGAAAGGAGAATATAGAAAAATAAGAGGACAGGATGAAAGAGAAATAGAAGAAAGAAAAAAATGAAAAAAAAAAAAACTAAGACAGCAAAATTAAAATTTGAGACAAAAGATTAGGAGAGGGTACCAGTAAAATTTGATATTTGAAATACAGAATTAGTGAAGCTCTACATA